TTTCCCACACTGGGTCAGGCCCACTGGGCCTGTCTGATCAGACTGAAGCCCCCCACCCTCTGCCCAATACACCCTCCAATATATCACCAGAGAATTTGGGATTTTTTTTAAACAGAAAAAACCAGGATCCTTGATCAAGAGGGATTACTGGAAGCAGTTAAGGAAAACAAACTTTGAGAGAAACAAAATGTTTCTGCTCTTTTAAGTCATAGATTACTTTGCTAAACCTTCTCTTTATGCTCTTTAAGCATGGAAGAGTAGGCTACTGTAAACTGTGACCTTCATTTTGTATTAGAAACTCTTTGCAAAAAGCAAGGTGATAACAACGTATTTCAGTCTGGTACCTTGCCCAGAAAAACTAACTAATACCTAGTTGAAGGACTATCAGTGAGAAAGCATCTCAACATAGTTCAGAGCCACCAGCTTAGAATTTCTCAACTGCTGGCCCAATTCCAGTAGGACAATGGATTTTCTCTCTCTCTCTCTTTTTTTTTTTTTTTAAATAAGGTGGCACCAGCATGCCTGATGAATTGATCTATTGCTTCTCAGCCTGGTCACAAAGACCAAAGGAAAAGCCCATATAAGAGGAAGCGATTCTCTGCAAGATGAAGTGGCTGGAGAAAGAGAAGGCAGCAAAACCTTGGACTCAAGAAAACGATACAATTAGACTGAAGGAAAGGATGCATTTCAGCAGGTTTGTTATTTTGCAAAGAACTGTAACAGTTCAGGATTTTTTTTTTTAAATGAATGGATGAAGAGCACTTATAAATTATGAAAAGTCAGGTTCTGTGAACTAAGACACCTGGACTATAGAGTTCCATTCCCTAGAAATGGGAAAACAATGACTAAAGTTTGCAGATTCAAAGACTGAACTCCACACAGACAACAGAGACAAAGCTTTTGTGTCCACTTATCAGATTGCAGGGGCTGGGAGGTTAAAATGCTATGGTGCAACAATAAGAATGAGGTATCATAAGAGCCAAAGTGATAAAACAGTAAAAATGGACCAAGTGGCAAATTCTGAGGTGACCTTGGGACTCCATAGGAAACGTGAGAGATCTATAACTTAAAAATGAACCAACAGAGATGTCAAAAATCTTGCTGTTTTTCATTAAAAGCTGCTACTATTCTGGAGAAATGCTGTAAGTATCATTGAAAACACTGCAAGAAGAGATTCTGAAATCAATTAGATACTAGACAAATGGTAATATTTAAAAAATGAAATTAAAGCTATTATGAGATATGAAGTTATAAGATATGAAAGAGATATGTACGTAATTGTATCAAGCAAAAGAAAATTGTATTTTTCTAATGTAGTAAGATTCTGGTTTTGTTGACATGTTCACGATAAAAGAAAGCCGTCGGTACAATTTATCTGGATTTTCAGAAGAAGTCTGTTTTTCTGGTCCCTCATAAAAGGTTATAATTTAGTGTTTTAGGTAAGAGCATGCAAAGTACAGTCAGTTCAGTACAGAGGTTCTCCAACTTCTTAGGCGCAAAGCATTCTAGACAGAATCAAGACACCCCTTGTTAGGCTCAAAACACTCTCAGAAAATATCAGTTTTTAGTTTTCACTCATTCTTCAACTACAGAAAAATAATAGAGCAATTTTGCTGTCGTAAAGAACTCAGAAAGACCATGACAGGCCAGACTGGTTTTGATTCCTATTTGCAATCTCTGGGTTTATCTAGTAAATCATTTTTTCACACGTAAGAGTGGTAACCATAACGTGACATCCTGTGGCACCTTGAAAGGATCTCAAAGCTCCTCAAGGTATAATGGCACACTCGTTGAAAATCACTGGTTTAGCAACTAGCTAGAACAGAAAAATACGAACAAGTTTCTACATGATGTAAGGCTGACCGGCAGAGAACTCCAACATTTGGTACTAGGGTTAGTGTCATCTAATACCTTTATGTCTGGATAGGGAAACAAACAGCTAAACAGCAAAGCTGGTAGATGTCACAAAAATCACAAAACAAGTATTCTGAAGAACTTAAGAATCTAAAAACTCTGTATATATGTGCAGTATGGTGGTAGACATAATTCACTGTTAACTAGTCCAAGACTTTGAATCTTGAGCCAATCCGGCAGCAAAGTCAAAATTAAAATTCCCCCCAAAAACATACACAATTCAAACATTACAGTGCTGCAAACACTAAAATAAATTTTGCAATGAAAAGGGATGATTAGAAATTGATTTTTAAAAATCTACCTGTTGCAAAGTGATAGGAATCCATTTTTCCTTGCCGTCTTCAGCTACTTCTAGAGTATATTTGCTTCTGTTTGTGATCATGAAAAAGGGAGTGAATGTCACAATTCTGGTAATGTTAAAGCTACTATTATCTATAGTGACACCAACCTGCAAAACGAAGGAAATTTGTTACTCTGTCTCACTTGCCTATTTTATTTTGAAACAAATATATATCTATCAATTTTTATATAACTCACTTGAAACTCTCTTTTATGACTCTTGCATTTAACAGAACCATGACTGCCAACAGTATCAAGTGAAAACTGATCAGACAGGTCACTGTCAGTCACCATAAGCTGAACCTGTAAAAAATAAGTTTAGTTAATTGTTAGTTTGTTAAAAAAAATGGAAAGCATTTAAATTCACAAATAAAAGAAACATCATGTAATGGGAAGATAGGGTAGCCATTAAAAGTCAGCATGGAGATTACCAGTAATCCCCTGCCCTAAACTATGTTCAGAAGACCACAGCAGCTTTATCTAACTAAAAGTTGTTTGCAGATTCTACATTTGTTATGATCTTATCAACTGTCATTGTTATTACCCACTGGAAGCCTGATGACAAGTTTTTACTTTGAATACATTTAAACTAATAGGCTAAGTTAGGCTTTTACAATTTTTCACCCACTTTCAACAATTCAGGATATATACTTTTAGATCATATTCAGAGCCTGGCCCATGAGGAAATCTGTGTGTGCAGGTGGTAGAATTCATACTCAGCAGATTCCAGAATGACTGCCTTAAGGTCATGGGGCAAAATCTATTCTGCTTAATGTAGATTTATATAAATTTATATCATTTTACACAAGCTAATTAGGACTTCTGGGTGCTACCATTACTAAAGCAGTAGCAGTTACTATCATATTGTGGTTTGGGACAACTCATGCTATTCTAGTGTCTACCGTTTCCAGTATCAATCAAAATAACAGTGTTTCACCATTTCAGGGTCCGTCTGTTCTCAGAATCCAAAAAAAATCAAGTAATGCTTGAATCATCATAGTGCTTAGGATGGCAACTATTATTAAATAGTGGTTATTTTAAAAAGGTGGCCATTAATAATAATACATCATGCATTAAAGTATTTATAAGTATTTTTTACTTATAATTGCAGATTGACAAACTTCCCACCTTATTAAAAAAATAAGAATGTGTTGTAATTTCAAAATACTCTTACCCTTAGAAAAGAAATTTAGTATGAAAAGACTACAATGCACTTAAAGCTATAAAAACCTGCAGGTAGCAAAGGATGGATAATAATTAATTTCATTTAGCTAACCTTCTTCATTGGATACAAAATATTTGTAGTACCTTGTTGTTTTGGAAGAAGTTTTTAGGTTGGAAAGAAAAAAGAAGTGGCTTTTTGTAGTCTGGAGGATGCTTGCGATGAATACCATCAGCTTTGTATTGCAACATTCGGCCAGTTTTATTTACCATCCAATACGGACAGTGAACTGCTATAACCATCTGTCCAACTGTGTAGGTCACATGGACAGCAATATCCAATTCTGTCTTATCCAGTTCAGTGACAGAAGAGAAGGTGATAAAGCCAATTTCTTGCTGGGTAGTTCTTATCTGGTATTCGCTTCTCCAGTTTTGATCAAGATAATTATGTAATTGCAATTCCAGCTTGGTCTGATCCAATACTGCATTATGAATCTGAGCTGAGCAACCATCTTCTAGGATAACACCTGTGTTGCCATCTCCCTGAAAAACAAACAAACAAAAAAATTACACAATCTCGTGGGATAAGCTATGAATTAAATCATCACCTTGGTTTAACTGGTGAATTTCTTTTAGGAACCTTTAAAATAAGATTTTAAATGTAACTGGAAAAAGGCAGGGTTTAAAAAAAAAAAGTATTTAATTACTTATCCATACCTTTTACACAACTTATCCTCGTACTTATCTAAAAGCCCCATTTACATTTTGAACATACTGTGGTATGGAATGTGTTTGCTGAACACTTAGCACATTTTTGGCACTCAAATTAATAATAATTGAATAAACAGTCATAAAAAATAAACCAAAACTATCCAATATTTGATCATTTCTCTATAATAAATTAATAAATGTAATATTAAAATTAATATAATAAATTAGGCTCAGAAGCTGCAAGAGACGCGCGGGTGAGGGCTCGCTGCGCCCCCACTCCCCCAAGGCCCCGCAGAGGCCCCCCAAAACCCTCCAGCAGCCGCGGAGCCCCCCGCCGACACCCAGCACAGCCGGGGTAAGCGGGGCCCGTGGAGAGAGGGGGCTAACCCCTTGGTGTGTGTGTGTGGGAGGAGGCGGCTGAGTGGAGCCAGGCCAGGTCGGGCCCCACCCAGGCCCCTACTTGGCCCGGCCCCCCGGGGAGAGGGAGAGGAGGGAGGGTGCTCGCCTGTCCCCCTCCAGTGGGGCAGGGTCCCCCAAATCCCGGGCAGGGCCCCCTTATTGCCCTAAGAGCAGCTTCCTCGACGGCAGGCCCACTGCGCATGCTCGCAGTTTAAAAGGGCCCGCCGACCGGGAAAAAAGCCCAGTTAGGCTCGGAAGCGGCGAGAGAC